CTCTTATACACATCCAGATATATAGATAGATAGTTATATAGATAGATAGATAGATAGATAGACAGACAGACAGACAGACAGACAGACAGACAGACAGATAGATAGATAGATAGATAGATAGATAGATAGATAGATAGATAGATAGATAGATAGATAGATAGATAGATAGATAGATAGATAGATAGATAGATAGATAGATAGATAGATAGATATATAGAGAGATCACGGCCACATCTCTGTCCAATAAGTTTAATTTTATAATGATTTTATTATATACCAGTAGAAAGGGTGTGCTGTGTGTACAACCACCGAAGGTTCATGGTATAACTTATTAATCAGATTAATTCGAAACAAAGATTGTGCTAATCTTAGAGATTAATTTCCTTAAATATGGTATAAAAAGAAAAGTTCAGTTAACAAATTAATGTACTTAGTCCTATTTCTTTTTTTTTTATTCGTTTTAATAAACTTTCATCTATTTAGGTCAGACTATGAATTAAAAACAGGAAAGGTTATAAAGATATTTTGTTTGATTTAATTGTTTTAACCGGTTTTATCGTTCTTTGCTTTAGGCCTCTTTAATTTTAAGTTAACGCTTGACCCTAAATTACCCATATGGTCAGTAATGTATTGTTCTAACGCAGTAAATGTGTTCATTGCAATAAAATTTTCTGGTTCTATGGTATATTACAGTACGTTTTTTAATACACATCTGTTAAACATTATATACAAATACAGCATTACAATTTAAAAACACAGTAAAACAGAATTCCGAGGATAACACTAATATGCCTATATAAATTATTAATCATTTAAAATTATATTTAATAGATTACTCTTATAATACGTTAAAAAATTAAAATAATAATAATAGTGATGATGATGATGATGATGATGAAGATGATGATAATGATGATGATGATAATGATGATGATGACGATCCTATGCTAATAACACATTTTTAGAAAGCATCTATATACATTAAAAGCCTTTATTTTTTTATATAAATTGGCATGTATTGCTATCGTATCACTTAAATCAATCAATCACAGATTATTTTAGGAATTTTCAGTAAAAATACAATGAGATTTTACGTCGGCTGCATTTTCACTCATCCGCAGTCAATCATATTTTCACCAAATTTATATCGGTATGCCCAGACGTACCTTAAATATTTACTGACGTATTTCCGCAGACTACGACTTTTTGAATTAAAATCGGAGACATCAGAACAAGTGTTTTCCATTTCTCTTTAACCAAATAATTATTATTGTATAAGGTCTAGTTCTTTTGAAGAGGTTATAATAATGATGGGATGTTCACGTCCATATTGAAATATTTAGGTTAATTTTACACTACTTACAAACACGTCTTAACAGATGACGAAAATTATCGGACTAGTACGATATACGATAACAGTAGTTTTTAGTAGTACCGGTACTAGTATAGTAAGTAGAGTAATAGTAGTAATAGTAATAGTAATAGTAGTAGTAGTAGCAGCAGCAGCAGCAGCAGCAGCAGTAGTAGTAGGCTAGTAGAAATTTTGGTGGCCTAAATAGAAAATCAAACTTATATGTAGTATGACAACCATTTGCTGTATAAGGCACCATAGGCCAATCGCCCCCATGTATACACGCAGGATGCAATGAGATGAAATGAAAAGTGAAAGAGACAAAAAAGCAAGGCGGAACTCATTCACCCAGCACAGTCCTGAGGACAGTTAGCCCGACGTCATGTGCAGGTGCCCGAAACAGATGAACTATAAACTTATGTATTTGACAGAAACAAACGATGACAGGACGCGGACAAGCAGAAGTGAAAAAACAAAAACAAACAAACAAACAAACAAACAACAAATTAAAAAACAAAAAAAAAACAAAACAAAACAAAAACATGAAAACAAATGGGACAGTGAAAAACAAACACCGTATTGGCTTTTAGTATTTAGTAATTTGCTGTTCTCTACTCTGTAACGTACTAGTAAAATACAATGAAATGGGATACTAAAGGTGATTGCAATGTTCATTCCATAAGTTTTCCGTAAGTTGTGCATTATCTGAAGTCCAGCATATAGTAGCAGTAGCATGAGTAGTAGTAGTAATAGTAGTGTAGCAGCAGCATTAGTAGTAGCAGCAGTATTATTATTATTATTATTATTATTATTATTATTATTATTATTATTATTATTATTATTATTATTATTATTATTATTATTATTATTATTGTTAGTAGTAGTAGTAGTAGTAGTAGTAGTAGTAGTAGTAGTAGTAGTAGTAGTAGTAGTAGTAGTAGTAGTAGTAAAGGAAGGCATAAGCCCATATTATGGCATGTGTTACAGGTCTATGTGATAGCAAATTGATTTTTCAAAGAATTCGGGATATGAAAGCGAAATATGGTATGATTGGTCACGTTTCCAATGAAGAGTTACTTTCATGACAACAGGAAGACAGATGTTGTAGAACAAAAGAAATAAGTTTATGCAAGTAGAAGAACTTTTAGTGAACCAAAATCATCCCAAATGCTATACTCATACTTTAATGATGCGAACAAACATTTAAAACCATGTACAGACATGTGTGTATTCCTTGCCTCCGATGTATTATGTGTTCTATGGTTGGGTATTATAACTATGATGTTGGCCAAAGCACTGATTAGCAATATGCTTCTATGAGGTTTAAAAATATGGCGTGTACAAGAGATAGTGCAAATTAAGATATTGAATCACTTCGTAACACTCTTCATAGGCCTAATTACTCTATGATATACAAACTACATACCTATTTTTGGACTTGTTTCTTACATCCAATTTCAAGATATTATAAATCCTCTTGAAAGTATAAATACAAATCATGAATCCAAAAATTTCCAGGAAAAAGAAGTTTGTAAGATTGATACTGTCATGCGTGCACTTTTCACAAATAATTTATATATGAATCGTGATTTGAGGTAGGCCTATTTAAGACAAGAATTCAGCGCTGCTGACTAGGCAGCCTAGGCATAACGAGTATCAAATCCCGCTCTACACGACAGCATCACTACTCACCAATCAGACGTCGTTAAAACGATTTGCTCCGCCTCGATTGGCTGAAGCTTTTCAGGTGCTGCTCACTAAAATAATTGTCAGTCAAGCGGTTGGCGGTAGGAGTTCATACGATAGGTGTATTATCCGATTCATAATACATTGTGAAACAATATTTACCGTGGTGTGCCAACAACACTGAGGTGATTGAAACTGTTCACCTAAGCTCCTCTTTTGTCAACAAGAAGTAAGGAATTAGAAGTATGTGTTTAATTCAGAATTATACATTTTCAAATCAAAGGAAGTCTTTCTTGCCATGATTTACAAATATATTTCAATTAGTCACAGTCCACAACGGACTAGAGATGACTTAATACCAACTTGCGGTACATCAAATACAACCTTTGTCGCATTTCATTTGAAGCATTTAGACCACAACTATAATTTGAATCAGTACTTAATTGATATCAATAATGATTACAATGCTCGCGTTACCTGTAATTTCGTTGCGTGGTCTACAGGTAAAATGGGGAGCAAGGCGTCATTCACATTATACATAACAGGAACACCAACGAAATTACCAGAATTACACAAACTGGGTTAGGCCTAGAATGTTAAATTTGCAGTCTTTCCCCTAATTCACACTGTTTTCCCGCGCACTCGTCAACCTCGACGTTATGGAATACAATATGAATAAAGACATGTATTTTAGTCAGATTATTATTTTTTTTTTTGGATGCCCCTATTGGGGAAAACACAATTCGTTGGGAGAAGAAAAACTTAAATGTATTTACATCATAGTAGGCTCTAATCGATTAAGGAAGCCTTTGAATCCCCTAATTATTATAGTTTTCCGGGGTTTCGTCTCGTTTTTTGCCCGTGACGTCACCAAACAATAATATACAAAAATGAAAGATTTTGAGCGGCGCCCAAACACGCCACTTCTTTCTCGTCGGGGACATCATACACCTCCCCCACCCCCACACACCCTGGCAAATCCTAGCGCCACCCGTGCAAATGATATTGGCCAAGCCTAGATCCGGATATAAGTCGCTTAGAATGTTGGAATTTCTACAGAATTATAGGTGTTTTTTCTTGTAAAAGTGAACAAGAGGAGACACTAAATGGATTAAAGATTGGACAACACACATACAATGGGTGCTTATTAGCGTACCTCACTCCAGTTATGTCTTACCATGGAGGTTCTTACAGTATGTCTAGTTTGATATCACTGCTGTGGAGTCTGATCGCTAGGCTCATCTATTAATCCTCAAAATAGAGTTAGGCGGTATAAGGGAAAATGTAGACCCGTTATTATATCACCGTGGTAGTATGTATTGGCATTGGTTGCACTGTGGTGGACGGGAGGGGAGGCATCAAATTTGTCGTTTTATTTCGACAAGGAGTCATAAGGAAGTATTTAAATAGGCCCTAAATATTTCAAAAACCTTGATCTCAACACAAATAAATACAATAATGAAACGGTACTTTATATCGCATTCCAAAAATCTGTTTCCTATTACTAAAAAAAAAAAAAAAAAAAAAAAAGAAAAAACATATCAATACCAGTTGGAAGCTATATGCAATCTCCCGCTAATTTTATACGGTAATAAACTTGCTTATATTATTATTCTGATAAAATCATTAAGTAATTGCAAATTAATTAAGATGAAAAAATGACATTGGCGGTTTGGCGGATAATAACTTAGGCACGTTTATTGTTGAAAAGGATTTTACAGGATGCGATGTATAGATCTAATTATGCATAAACGTTTCTGTAAAAGGAAAAAAAAAACAATAGGTTGTGACCAAAACAAGCAAGCTAACTATCCCATGCCTAATTAGTACAGCTATAAAACTCAGACAAGGTGATTTTTTTTTAACCCAGAGTAGACCAGTTATACACAATTTATAGCCACGAGCCACGAGCGTTCGATTTAGCGGTGTACCGTCTTTACTTAAACCTTACGTTTCTGTAGAAAGAACTTTAAACAGTTGAATGCAATAATACTGTTAATTCCACGTGTTTGAGATACTTATCAGAATTGATTGTAAACCTGAGACATTTGGAGCGTACTTTATTCGTTGATCATTTTACTCAAATGAAATGGATTATCGTGACACAAAGAAAACAAAAATGATTTTTTAAACTGTTCGGGACGAATGAAAAGAAGAATCATGGCCAAGTCACCGAGAGTACGCTGAAAGCTGTTGTTGGTATAGCCTAGGGGAAGAGGTTCGTATGGAAGGCCGCTTCTCATCGTGCCAATGGATTGACAGTTCAGTAATTGACTAATAGTGCGGTAGGCTTTTGATGCCCTGACTTATATGAATACGCCGACTGGCTGTCGCCTTGCCCGTGACGTCACCAAACAATAATATACAAAAAGTATAAAGTATGGTACAGCACCAGACGTAAAGTAGAATTAAATACATGTTTTAAAGGAAATATTAATGTAAAGTACCCAAAATGGTATGAAAAAATGTATGATTATTAACCTTGCCTTTTTTCGGATCTTTTCTGCACAATGTCTCTTGAGAATAGATTCAAACTACAGTTATCTGAAGAACGATAATAAGTCTACCAATATAATAATTATATCCTACACTTTATTGATGATAAACAGAATATACATTTTCATTTCGTTTATTTCTTGACAGTTGATTTTTTTTAATTAAAAAATCCGTTTATAACATGTTCGTGTACAATGGTTTCAGTATGACAGTTCAAACGTTTGGACGAGTTTTTATTACTTTTGTTAAATTTGTATTATTTTACTATGGCGTTTTAACTAGGCCCTATTAAATTTTATTATTTTAACAATTTGCAAATTAATAACTGTAAGTTATTCTCAACGAGCAGATTCATCAGTGGGCTAAACTTTGCATGCAGTAGTCCGGATTCAATTCCATCGTTCCTCTCCATGTGTTACAGTTCAATCGTTGGTCCCGTATGCCACAATTTGTGAAATTTGACTAACCCCTTTCGTTAAACGATTATTGGAATGGATATTTTCATGGTTGTCAATTGCCTCTTCAATACTGTCACTATTTAAATATTATTAGGTTAGGTCTCCCACCTCCTTGGTCTGGGTAGACCTACATTTTTTGTTAAGTCTTGGATGTTACAATTTCCTAATGCTACCAACTCTTCGAACCTACATAATTTACTTAGGCCTGAAATTGGCTGTCTAAACTTGAATATAAAAAATACCGCATAAGGTATACATTATTTATATTAATTAATTAATTATAACAATGGGATTTATTTTGTTCCTTTATAACTTGAAATTTTGACCGTAAGAATTAATATCTGTAATTCATTATCTTCAAATCTAATTCCTCTCTACACAATTGCTGTACTCGAGGTAGATATGTTATTACTGTAATTTATCGTAACTGAATGTTTGCTTTTAGAGACTGTGTCTACAGCCTATCTTTAGAATCAATACCAAAATAACAATAAGTGTTCGGTCCCTGACATAAAACCGAATGCATTGTGTCGCGGCATTCTGATGATTACTAAATGGATAAGGATCTGTTTGTATTTATAATATTATAACATTTTCGAATGTTAAAAATTGTATTTCTAAACCTATGTTATTTCACAAGTTGACATCATCTGCTAATTAGCTGAAGCATCAGTTGATATGATTTCATTTTTCAATCAAAAGGGTTTATTAGTACTACTGTATTAATAAGCTATCTATGCTACTACTACTACTACTACTACTGCTGCTGCTGCTGCTGCTACTACTACTACTACTACTACTACTACTACTACTACTACTACTACTACTACTACTACTACTACTACTACTACTACTACTACTACTACTACTACTACTACTCCCGTATGCCACACTTTGTGAAATTTGACTAACCCCTTTCGTTAAACGATTATTGGAATGGATATTTTCATGGTTGTCAATTGCCTCTTCAATACTGTCACTATTTAAATATTATTAGGTTAGGTCTCCCACCTCCTTGGTCTGGGTAGACCTACATTTTTTGTTAAGTCTTGGATGTTACAATTTCCTAATGCTACCAACTCTTCGAACCTACATAATTTACTTAGGCCTGAAATTGGCTGTCTAAACTTGAATATAAAAAATACCGCATAAGGTATATACTACTACTACTGCTGCTGCTACTACTACTACTACTCATGCTGCTACTACTACTACTGCTGCTGCTGCTGTTCCTGCTACTACTACTACTACTACTACTGCTGCTGCTGCTGCTGCTGTTGTTGCTGCTGCTACTACTACTACTACTACTACTACTGCTGCTGCTGCTGTTGCTGCTGCTACTACTACTACTACTACTACTACTGCTGCTGCTGCTGGTGTTGCTCCTCCTACTACTGCTACTTCTACTACTATTACTACTACCACTACTACTATGGTGCTGCTACTCATACCACTACCAATAGTAGTAGTAGTAGTAGTGGTAGTAGTGGTAGTAGTAGTAGTAGTAGCAGCAGCAGCAGCAGCAGCAGTAGTAGTAGCAGCAGCAGCAGCAGTAGTAGTAGTAGTAGTAGTAGTAGTAGTAGTAGTAGCAGCAGCAGCAGCAGTAGCAGCAGTAGCAGCAGTAGTAGTAGTAGTGTCATGGTGGGAGTGGTAGTATTGTTGTTGTTCCAGTGCAAAATTTAACAGGAGGTAACGGTCCGGAGAAAAGAAACTCAAAGCCATAATATTCTGCTTAATATTTTATGCATAATGGCCATGCACCGAATTCCCGTCTAATAAATAATAATCACAATATTGGAGTTATCTAATTAAACAATGGCTCTGGCATTTTTATTTCGATAATGTAACGACTTGAGCGATGGGATTATAAAGAACTACTGACGGTAGCCCTCTAATCTGAGACAACGATGAAATATAGCGATAAGTTAACTGAAGCTCTATAAATGAGACTTTAT